GTCCGTGTCCCACGGGTTTCCATTCTCTGTCCCGTGAGAGTCCGTGTCCCGCGGGTTTCCATTCCCTGTCCCGTGAGGGCCCGTGTCCCGCGGGTTTCCATTCCCTGTCCCGTGTGTCCCCGTGTCCCGCGGGTTTCCATTCCCTGTCCCGTGTGTCCCCGTGTCCGTGTGTCCCGCCCTCCCCGCACTCCATTTCCCGCCAGGCCCCGCTCCCTCCGTCCCGCCCTTCCCGGGCCGTCACTGCCGCTGTGTCCCCGCCATGCTGCGGGCGATCAGCCGCTGCCGGCTGGGCTCCGTCCCGGTCCCGGTCCTGCCGCTGGGACCCGGACCGGGACCGGGACTGGGACACGGTCCCTGCCCCGGGCTGTGCCCCGGGTGGTCCCCGCGGGTGGTGCCGGCGCGGGGCCGCAAGAGCCGCCACGACCCCCCGGCCAAGTCCAAGGCGGGGCGGCTGAAGCTGCCGCCGCCCGTGGACCCCGAGGAGCTGCTGGTGGTGCTGGAGCGGTACCGGCAGCACCGGCTGGTGCTCGGAGCTCTCCGGTACCGGGGATCGGGGTGCTGGGGGGCGATGGGGACAGGGGGGTGAGCGTGGGGTGGTGGGGCCCGGGAGGGTTTGGAGGGGCTGGATGTGGCTCTGGGTATGGGCAGGGGCTGATGTGGGGCTCGGGAGGGTTTGGAGGGGCTGGATGTGGCTCTGGGTATGGGTATGAGGTACTCTGGGGCTGGGTATGAGGCAGGGACCTGGGTATGGGCCTGGGGGGCTGGGGAAAGATTGGACGAGCTGGATGTGGCTCTGAGTATGGGACTGGGGATGGGGCAGGAGGCTGAGGATGGGACTGGGGGGCTGATGTGGGCCAGGGGGAGGCTTGGGAGCCTGGCTGTGGCTCTGGGTGTGAGGCTGGATATGGGGCTATGGGGTTGCTGTGGGGCAAGGGAGGGCTTGGGGGGGCTGGGTTTGGGTCTGGGTAATGGACTGGGGATGGGGCGGGAGGCTGGTTATGGGGTTTTAGGACAGGGGAAGGTTTGGGCTGGGGATGGGACAGGGGGCTGTGTATGGGGCTGATGTGGGGCTGGGGAAAGTTTGAAGGGGCTGCATGTGACTCTAGGTATGGGGCTGCTATGGGGCAAGGTAGGGTTTGGGCGGGCTGGCTGTGGCTCTGGGTAAGGCACAGGGTATGGGGCAGAGGGCTGGTTATGGGGTTGTAGGATAGGGGAAGGTTTGGGGGCTGTGGCTCTGGGTATGGGGCTGGTGTGGGTCAGGGGCCTGGTGATGGGGCTGAGCTTTGAGTATAGGGCTATGGGGTTTCTGTGGAAGGCTGGGGGGCTGGATTTGGGGCAGGGGGCTGGGTATGGGACATTTGTAGGGTTGAAGAGCTGACTGGACAGTGGGACTGGCTGTAAGGGCAGGGGGCTGGACAGGGGGATATGGAGTTGCTTTGGGGCAGGGGAGGGTTGGGGGTCTGGCTGTGGCCCTGGGTATGAGGCAGGGGGCTGGGTATGGGGCTCAGGGGTTGTTGTGGCGCATGGGAGGGTTGGGATTGTGGCCATTTGGAGCTGCTGTGAGGGAGAGGGCAGGTTGTGGGGCAGGAGTGGGTTGGGGGATCTGGGCTACTTTGGAACAGAGGCAAATAGACTCAGGATACTCTGGGGTAGGAAAAGGATGTGGCAGTGGGACTGGGACCAGTGTAGGGCAGGAGAGAGTCAGGGTGGTGGGACTGGGACTGCTGTGGGACAGGGATGGATCAGGGTGGTGGGACTGGGACCGCTGTGGGACAAGGTGGTGGGGCTGGCTCTGCTGTGGGAACCCCCAGTGCTCCCAGCTGCGGGCAGGGGCTCAGTGCCCTCCCCTCCTCCCTGCAGGTCCGAGTTCAGGGCCGAGGTGCTGCAGAAGAAGCGGGAGGAGCGTCTGGGCGGGGAGAACTCCGCGGAGCTGCTGGAGGAGCACCGACGCCTGATGGCCTGGAATGACGAGGAGAACGCCCGGCAGCGGGCACGCAGGTCAGCGGGATCCACTGCCCTGCATGGCTTTGGCTTCTGCTTGTGCAGATCTAAACTCAGTTAGAGCCAGGCTTAATTTTTATGAAGACCCTTGACCTAAACTGTGACCTTTTTAAACAAATCTGCCAAGGCAGTGGTTTCTGCGGCTCTTGAGGCTGAGGGGCAAGTTAAGGAGCTCTGGGGCAGCTTCCTGCTCTCCTGAGGATGGGAGTGTCACCTCATCCATCAGGTTTTTGTTTTCCTTTCTGTCTGGCAGAGAAGAGAGACTCAGGAAAGAAGCAGAGGAAGAGAAGAGGAGGAAGTTGGAGGTCGCGGAGAAGCAGGCCAGGAAAATGGAGGCTTTCATGAAGGAGAAGGAGAAGGAGGTTCTCCAGCTGCAGGTAAGAGCAGCTGGTGCCTCCTGGGGGACAAGCTGCCAGCAGCCCCTGCGAGGGATTTGCTGGCAACCCGTGGGAGCCACGTGGAAGCCGTGGGCTTGTTTTCCAGAGATCTTTCAGTTGGTAGCTGGGAGGGTGTGTAGCTGGTAGCAAGGTGTTGGCGCCTTCCAGGGGTGCTGACAGCGCGTGGATGGGAGAGAGGCCGAGCGAGAGCTCTGGGAACGGGGCGGAATAATCCCTAGGGATAATCCTGAGGGGGTATAATGCTTGTCCTCGGTTCAGGAGGAAGCCAAAAGCTTCATCACCCCGGAGAACCTGGACGCGCGGATCGAGGAGTGCCTGGACAACCCGCGCAACTACAACTTCGCCATCGACAAGGACGGGCGGGTCGTCAAGCGCACGGTGCTGTCGTAGCAGCCCCAGGATGGGGCTCCTGGCCTGCTTTTGTGCCCAGAGCCTCCTCCCCAGAAGACCTGGAGTTCTTCTTTTTAATGTATAAATTGGCCACG